TTTGTGTGTGTGTGTGTGTGCATGGTTGTTTTCCTGTCTGTTTCTGTGTTGCCCTGCGACAGACTGGCGACCTGTCCATCGTGACCCCCGCCTCTGACCCAGAGTGTCAGCTGGAGATAGACACCAGCAACTCCCGACCCCACTGGGGACAAGGATGTACAGAAAATGTATGGATGGAGAATTTTACTCCATTCGTTTTTAAGAGTTCTCGACACACACAGAAGCACAAACGGAGAACAACTGAGAACTCAGACGCCAACAAAACGGATGTGGCATACGTGGTATGACGTTTTCTGTTTTGTCCAAAAGTTTCATCTGGAGCTGATGATTCTGCTACTCTTGGAGAACACAAGTCTGTTTTTGTGTCACGCGCTCCGTTCAACTGCTTACCGGAAGTAAAAATAGATGCAAAAGTTCATATCCTGTTGCGAAATGGGACAAATGAGATATCGTATCGTCACTTTTCTAAAATGATAACGGCTTGTCAATGATTCAAGTAATTTTTTTCCTCCCTTGGTTTTTTGCAAACAGTATCACCACCTATTTCTTTCCAAAAGACGGTTTAAGCAAAAAAAAACAAAAAAACAAAAAACAAAACAAACTTATTTTGGGAAGGTGGCAATACTAAAGAACATTAACTCATACTAGAAACAAAATAATCAGATATTTTCTTCGTGCCTTTTCAGGCTCAGCGGCTGCATGGCGGCACCATGCAGCAGAGATCAAATATTTTCGGTTTGGATTTTCCAGAAGATTTTCTTTCCTGAAACAACGTGCTTATATCTCAGAAGCAAAGTGATATATATGTATATATTTTTTGCACGTTTTAATTTACAATTGCCACAGTGGTCTGACATCCACTGTCTTTACATAATTGGTGACTCATCCTGACTCATCAAACAGTAAATCCCCACTTTTTTTTTTTTTTTTGTTTGAAAGTATGAATCACGCAAGCATAACATGTCCTGGAGGAGCTTTAATACGCTCAGCAATAAGGTGCGACCGCGGCAGATTAAGTTGTCATCGGATCGTTCGCGGCGTTTCCAGCAGTGTCAGAAACAAACTCCCACGTCTCGTTCAGCTCACGCAAAGTGCGACAACCCGGTCTCTCCAGAAAACAAACAAACAAACAAAAAACCCCAGAGAGAAACAAAGCACATTTTTTTGGTTTGGTGCTGCAAAAAAAAAGAAAAAAGAAGAAGAAGTGAAAAGTCCGAACGTTGAAGCGCGTAGACTAACCGAGGGAATCCTGAGAGGGTGGCGGGATGGAGGACGAGAGGAGCCTCCAGCATGCAGGGCTTGCCAACTTACTGTCATCTCTTTGGAGGTGCTACAGAGAGCGTGGACGGAAATCCAGCAATGCTGACTTGCATTGTAATTAGCCGCTCTCCTCCTGAGTCGACTCATTCTTGCTGCAGTGTGTGTGTGTGTGTGTGTGTGTGAAGGCACTCAACACGTCAGCACAACATTGCAACCAACCCAACAATGCAGTCGGCATTTATCGTATCGTTTATCATTTATCGTGATACATTTTGTAGAAGAATTTTCATTTCTCCTTGCGATTAATGTTTAGTAACCTGTGGGATTGTTGGTCCCACTATCTTCTCCGCTGTTTGTTCAATGACATTATCGATATAATTGCAAATACGAGTAGTGAGTGCACGATCTCTCTTTTTCGTTGGCCAAAAACCTCAAGCCATTTCCGCCGCTGGCGTGAGACACTGCATTTACCCAGAATGCCCCGCGCTACGGTTCACCTCCAGTCCGCCTCGTGTTCACATATGCGTCCAAACAGAGTTCGCTTCAACCGAACAGAGGCCGATGCTTTTAGGTGGACCAGAGTTCGCTTCAGAGTTTTGATGGCGCATTCATGTACTCCTCAAGCAAACCGGACTTTCGACCAAAGTGGACTGAACAGGGCCGGTGTGAATGCGCCCTAAAGCTCCACCGACTAGGAGCGTAAGGATTATTCCTGTAATTCAGCTTTGCTCATGCATAATTTTCGACCGTGTAATATACACATAAAAAAGGCTGGAAAATGACTATAAATATTTAATCGACAGAGGCATCCTAAATTGAAGTCAGAAATATTGCTGAAGCGCCACAACGTTAAATCTTTATTACTTTGTTTCCTCTTTGTGGTTCAAGAAAGCCACAACCCTGAGCGTTTTGAGTCCATTGAGTCAGACGGGGTTTAGTTCAACATGCAGGGCAAGATGTTCTGCGGACCAGAATAGACCAACGCTACCAGACTGCAGCTTGTTTCCGTTCGATTCCCACGACGTGGCGCGCGGCCGCGTCTTTAAGTCGCCATGAGCCGTTTATCTTGTGAGATTTGTTGCCGAAACAGGAAAAAAAAAACCAAAACCCACAGAACTTCACAGAGCGAAACACGGCAGCGTCGTGCTTAGGCCATTCTTTTCTTTTCCGAGTTGACGATGAATTTAGCCGGATGCAGGAAAATCCTGGAAGAAAACAAACTCAGGGTTGCAGCTGATTATTTTAGCAACTGATTATTCTCTAGATTATTGAGATGATAAAAAAATAAATTGAGTAATTGTCACGTTCTAGCAGATTTACCAATTTGTTTTGCAAGCCCCCTCTTCCCCCCCCCCCCACACACAAAATTAAAACTCTGTGCTATTATACACACAATCACAATTATGCACTGCTGTAATGAAGTGTGTGTCTGTAAAGTGACAGAGTGGAAAGGCGCAAGGGTGCATGAATACGTTCCGTTGCCACAGAGTGCATTGAGCTTTGTGACGCTGTTATCTATAGCCGAACGTTGGCAACCTGATTTCAGAGTCATTTTAAATCTGTATTTTTTGTCATTCCAACTGCAAACTGTGATTCGTTTGCTATTTTTATCCTTCGTTTCAGGCAGTTGGTAGAAGAGTGGATGCTATTTAAAGTACGGCTGCAGAATTGCAACTTTAGCACGACGTTCAACATGAAGTGAACTGACCTAAAATGAGCCGTGATTGATCACATCCCATTTCTTTTTCTTTTTTTTTTTCCATTCACCCTAGTCGTCCCTCACCACACACACACACACACACACACACACACACACACACACACACACACACACACACACACACACTCCCCCCCTCTCCTCTGCCTGCTGGTCGTTTATCTGATTGTGTTACAGTGTGCTTGGTGTACCAGCTGGGTCAGTGCTCCTGAGAGGCCCTGTGTCCCTGGAGGCTATAAGAGAGGGGAGCACACACACACACACGTCACACCAGCCTGCACCTCGGATATTTTTTCTGCTACTGTACACTTTTTTTGCGAACCGACAACAAGTGACGGAAATCTTGAGTCCCATAAGCGTACGCGTTATGGCAAGCCTTTTTAACACAAATTCGGTTTCGTGTGACGATCCCTGATTACATTCCAGACGTCTAAAAATGCATTTTGACTAGACAAGACTACATTTTTACTATCCCGAATGGTAAACTTAAAATATCTGCATTTACATTCTGACCAGTAAGAATGATAACCCAAGATTTGACTCGTCAATAACATTTTGACGAGTCAAAATTCCTTCCAAGATGTCTAACATGACGCCACCGGATCTGTCGTTTGACAGAATTTATGTTAAAAGGGCTTGCCATATGGGCCGATGGAGTTTCAGCGGCTGGCGACTCAAACGTGGTGTTAGCTTAGCTTAAATTAAAAGCCACATTTAAGGACACGATGAGGGTGCAAAACTCTACAGCGTTCCACTGCACAGTGTAGTAGAGTAGGCTCTCACTCCTGCCGTCCCAGGCAGAGAGCACAGTCAGTCATAAATACCCCTCTCCATCCCCCATCACTTTCCCTTAGGGATGGAGAGAGAGACGGAGAGTGGAGGAGAGGATGTATCGTCTTGACTCTATATAGCAGAGCGCGCTGCGAATGAATGCATCATCACGCTAATTAAAGTAACAATGTGTAATAGTCACTTGACGGGTCTCAGATCGGATGTCTTTACAGTAAAATGCAGCGTGTGAAGTGTTGGGCAGTGTGTTCAGAAATAGTTGCCTAGTTTTGCACCGTTGGAAGAAAAGCGAAAGGTTCGTGGTTCAATTTCAGTGAATCAAAAAAAAAAAAATCATACAGTGACAGTTTAGAGTAGGGCAGCAGCCAATGATGATTTTACTAATCGGTTATTATTGGTTATTCTGACGATTAATTGGATTAAAAGTAAATTGGCACATCTTGCAGATTTTTCTTTTAACCACTTTGGCTATTTTTTGTACAATGTTGGAAATACGCTAAAAGACGCAAGTAAATAAATAATTTGGTTCCCTTTTTAAAATCCGTAAATAAACATTTTATTTCTTTAGTGACAGTTTGGTCATCTGCATCTGCAGCTGAATGAATCCTTCCAGCTGCTCGGCCCTTTCTGCTGGACTTCTCAAGCTTACCGAGTTCTGATTTGTCGACTGTTTTTCTTTTTCAAGAAAACAATTAATAAATTAATAGCAAAAAGTACTTGGTATGAGATTTTGGCAGAACCTGATGGAGCCAAAACCACTTGAGGAGTTCTGGATAAAACATAGTTGGACACAAAGATGTTTTTTTTTGTCTTATATGCAAAATATTTATATTTATTTTTTTGTGCTGTTTTGGCTTGATTAATTCTCCGAAGGTGTCGTTCTTTCACCTTCGTCTGAGTCAGTATGGTTCACTTTACGATTAGCGAACGCTTGTGCTGCAGAAATTTGATCTCCAGTTTCCCAGAGAACAATATTAAACTCTCAACTCATTGTCATGAACTCAGCACTGTGTCTCGTCTCATCTTGCAAGTGTAATGCGTGGTAACACCCCTGATGCTGCCATTTTTTTTGGATGATAGAGCGATGGAGCGGTGAAGGTCTTAGGGTAGTTCAGCTGCAGGGATATCAGAGTAGAGATGATTGAAAACCAGTTTTTTATAGCTCACTAAAATGAACAAAATCTTGTGAACTGAACTGAATAAATATAGTTATCAACTGGGGGAAAAAAAAAAAAGCATGCATCTATAATGCTGACTAAAACACACTAAAATTCAAGACATAATAGTTGATGGTCCTTTCAATTTCGTTATCGAATGGCCTGACATCTGGAGCGACGGGTACCGCAGAGTTCAGGTTGGGAAAAGAGAAGAAGTGAGGAGGGACAGGAGAGGAGCAGAGAGGAGAGGAAAAGGAGGACAGGACATCAGAGAACAAATGAGAGGAGAGACACTGACGTCTTTGATCCTATCTGCTCTCGCTGCCGATACGACCGCCTCAAAATCCCATTGACACAGCCGCACTTCAGCAGCTTCCATTGTCTCCTCTGGTTTTATTTTAAATAACATCTGCATTCGTCAGCATGTGGCTTCATTGGCTGTCCGGGTTTCATCCCTCCAATAAAGCTGGGAAGGTTTTCTTCTTTTTTTCCTTCCTTCCTTTCCTTCCCTCTGGCTGTGGAGTTGGAAATGCCCTTGGCAAAACATAGAGGTGGAGTTTATAAGAGCCAGCCCGCCTGCGATTTCCAATAAAATATACAGTTTTCTTAGTTAAGACTTGTGAACGGTGGAGGTAAAAAAAAAAAAAAAAGCAACAAAAAAAAAAAACAAGCATTTCCTGCAAACGTTTGTGCAGACCTGGTGTGAGAGGCAGGCGGTGAAGGCGGGAAACACGCGGCTTCTTGATCAGGCTACGTTGTCTCATGCTTGCTCCATTCATAGAAATCTCACGCTTCCATTGCGACTATTAATAGCGGACACACTCAGCTTCCTGCTGCAGCCAATACACTGCCAGGCATCCGGAAAAGGCAGAAAACCTGTGGGGACGCACTCGTCCAGAAAACCTAGGCAACAGACGCCAGCTGCCACCTACCGAAAAGTAAAGAGGAACTGCTGTTGAAGGCTGGATGCAATTTGTCGAAACAGATGAACAAATGGAATCAAATTTTTACATGAAACTTATACAAAGGAAGATGTTTTTGTTTTTTTACATATTTGTTAAGATTATCACTTTGACGTGACGATTTAATATCAGATAGATAATATACAGGCGTTTCAGCACAATGTAGCCTGCCACAAATGCTAAGGCTGGTTAGCGTAGCTACAGATGAAGGCAGAAAAACTGTCTTCCTGTAATGGTGAATAGTTTTTTCACCCGTAGCACAGTTAGGAGCATACATGAGGTTGATTGACAACACTAAGACCCGCCTCCTGGCTCTGATTGGTTGTTTTCGGTCTGCATTTTTGCAGGCTCCAATACTAGCACTGGGAGGAGATGGAGGAGTTTATTTGTTTGTTTTTTTTTCCTTTCAAAGGTTATACGTCTCAGAAAGATGACTGGTTTAATAAATGTGTAAAAAACATACTTTTCTCAAAGTTACAAATGGCAGCTTTAAACAAAACTATTATGGTGCTGGTGCAAAAATGTTTTGACAAACATTTCTTGAAACTGAATCAGCGCTGAATGGGGAAGAGTGCTATATTCAGCCAATACCTTATATTTATTTTTCTCTTCTTTACCGCCTGCCTCTGAGATAGATATATACCGAACTAAAAGACTTCCAGTCTATAAGTTTCAATTTTGTGACTTCTCTCGATTTCACAACTTTTTCTTTAACTCTGAGGTGCGGCTCAACTGAGATTCAGAGAATAAACTGAAATTCATGGGATTCAATCTCAAAACGAGGAAGCAAAACTTGAAATTTATGTAAAAAAAAAGTCTGACGATCCAATTCAATGACATTATTTAGACAAAATTTGGACAGCATTATGTGAGTTTTCATGTTGCCGACCAGCTGTATGATACACGCCTGATACCACAAAATCAAATTGTCATTTCAGCGATGAAATCCACATTTAACCCAAACGAAGGGTCGATGTAAACAAAGAAGTTAAAGCAAACCCTTTAGAATGGAATAAAACATGTCCTCAACGCAGGCGCTTTTTGTCAGGGAGCTGATATATTTACTAGCGGTAGTTTACACAGGGCGCTGTAATCTCTCCCTCCCTGGCGTGTTTGTCCAAGGTTTACTCATTCAGGTTTCAGCTGGCCGAGGCAGGTGCAAGCCGGTGACTCAACAACGTTTGTGCCGCTGCCGACCGGGCCCTTCAAACACGCCTTTGTTTGGCCTAAATCTCAAACCGTCCAGTGCTTTTTTTGCTTTCTTTTTTTTAACAAGCACCCGCCGCCGTGCACACAGACATGTAGCAAATCCACACACGCATGAACACGCGCACACACACAGTTGCTCCGCGGAGGCCTCCCAACAAGGGAATTGTGATGTTTCATTATGTAATAAGTGGTGCAGTCGTACTGTAATATAACTTTACATTTGCTTGAGCGAGCTTCACAGGAAGCGATAAGCACAGCAGCCTCAGCGGTGGAAACATTCTAGCGGATGCTGTTTGTATCGATTGCTGCTCGCCTGGCGCTGATCAGGAGGTGGAATGTTTCGGAGCGTTATGCTGCTGCACATGTGCTGCGGATGAGGACGCTGCTGTAGGTGTAGATTGCCAAGGCGACCCGCTGAGACCAACACAAAGAGCGATCACTGTTGTGACATTTAAGGCATTGCACTAGAATCAGCCTAAAAGCAGAGGAGGCTGTTATTTAAAAAAAATTAATAAAATTCATGTGAGGATGTTGCTGAGGGTTGAAGCACAAAAAAGCACATTTACCATCCTGGGATTGCAATTTTAGTAGAGGATCTCCAACTAATTCCTTAATACCACTTCCATCCATCTGTCTGTCCATCTATTTTCTGACCACTCCTGTCCCGGGCGAGAGGCTGGGGACTGTCGCAGACAAACAGGACAAACAACCACGCGCTGACACACACACCTGGGGAGAATTTAGAGACCAATTAACCTGACAGTCATGTTTGTGGACCGTGGGAGGAAGCCGGAGTACCTGGAGAGAACCCACGCATGCACAGGGAGAACATGCAGACTCCGTGCAGAAAGACTCCGGGCCGGGAATCGAACCTTCTTGCTGCAATGCAACAGCGCTCCCAACTGAACCACTGCGCAGCCCACTACTTACCCTGGTAAAACACTGCTGCCATCACAACAATAATGCATTGATTGATTTGATTTAAATTGAACAATGCATATAAAAGCTGCAATATGTAACTTCTACAAAAATATGTTTTTTTTCATATCTGTTATGAACAGATATGAAACAGATATGTTTCTGACTGAGGGATGTATGTCTGCAGTTTGTACTGGGAGCACTGGGAGAAGGCAGAGGAGCTCTACTTTTTTTTTGTCACAGATTATCTGTCTGATATCATACTGTGATGACATCATCATAGTTTTTATTTTTTTAAAACATTTTTAAAAAGTAGTTCCATACTGCAGATTTAATGAACACACATTATTGTCGTAAATGTACTGGATTCAGCAAAAAAACTAATTTACAACCATAGTCCCATAAAACAAACACAAAATACAAACATTCATCCAATTTCATGCATAAAGATAAGAACAACGGTAAAAACAAATAAAAACTATATATAAGGAGCCATGAAAATGGAGCAGCTGACCTGTGATTTTTTAGGGGACCGACACGTAACAAGTTTATTTTCAGTGAAGATGCAAAAACTTGACAAGAAGTTGGGAGTGCTGGAGTTGACGGACAGCAGGAGCCGTTCACCTTATCCTCAGGGGCCCAGCTGCTTGGATGGTTGTTTGTGTGGTTGGCTTTAAATCTGCACAGAGAGGCGAGAAAATCCTTTCATTAGGGATTGTACAGAAAGCGAAGTTAAACAGCTCTGCTCCGCCATCAGACAAATGTTTGGAGTCGTCAAGTCCAACTTAACTGAAGTCATATAGTGTGTGGCAGCTACGCATCTGTCCGTTTGATGACTGTGCTGACCTTTGAACTGTGCGTAGCCAGGATGTGGTGGGATAAAGTACACGTGGGAGCCGCTAATTCCTCAAAGGGAAACCTAAAAAAACCCCAAAAAATCTTTTATTTTCACTACAGAGAACAAGAAAAAAGATGTACCTTCACTCTAATAGCTAATCCACGCTGTTTTCTTCTTCTGCTTCTTTGAGTTTTCCCAGCAGCGCCCCCTTCTGTAGCTGGCGCTCTTGGCAACCGTTTGGCCCTGCCTGTAGGGATGAATTGGTTAAAAAAGGAATGGAGTGAGACGGGTCGACAATAGCCCAGGTATCAAATACCCCTCTATTGTTAGCTACGCCTGGGCTATTATAACCCTCAGTGTGAGACATTTTTAGAACAGTCCACCCTTTGCTTCTACCTGGAACCGTTCCAGCACGTGTGTCTGGTTCAGCATCGGACTGAGGAGCGTTAGAGAGAATGTTTATAAAAGCAGAATATTAGTAAGAAAACGTGTTTTTGTAATACTACAAACGGTTACGAGATTTTCTTCAACTTGTGAGGTTTTGTTTTCGTGTTCAGTCTGAAGAACATTACTGATTGTACTGGTTCACCAGAAACATCTATGACAGAGACAGAGACTTGTAATCAAAAGTATGCAAATACTTGTAATAGGACACTTTTAACTGCTATATATGCTATTCAAGATGTTTTCTTATTTCAATTTCTGGACAGCATCTCAGCAGCTACAGTCGATCTTTTGTAATCCACGGCGCGATATGAACCCTATTCTGTTTCATCACAGACCTGCTCTGTAATTGTTTTGAAGGAAACCAAGAGTTGGATCATGCGGTGGGATATCAAGGCCACTGAAGCTAAGGGGAAAAAAAGAAGGAGCAAATTTAAAATTCTCTGAATTTTCTATGAAAAATAAAGGACATTTCTGAGTTTGAAAAGTTTCAAATTTACTAGAAAAACATAGACATTCTTTGTCAAGCTTTCAACTCTTCAAACTTAAAAATGTCCTTCTGTGTTTTGTTTTTTTTTCTAGAAAATTACCGACATCTTTTGGCCAAACTTTCAAACTCTGAAAATTTCCAAAGGTCAACCTTTCAAGCAAAGACACGGCCTCGCTTCTTCTAGAAAATGTCTGAGATTAATCTCAAAATTTGTGAGTTTTTGTGAAACTCTGAAATTGCCTCCTCTTTTCTTTTTCACCTACAATGGCCGCCGTGGGATCACATGATCTGCAAGAAAACGCTGGTCGGACAGTGCTGGTGTGGGCCAAGCGGCTCTGATGTTTCTGTGTCTCTGGCATGGATGAAGAGAAGGAAACGACTGGGATTCACCCGGCCAGATTGATGCGCAGAAAAAGGCAGCGGACCTGAGCTGAAGCACGTCTGAGCCTCTGAAATGTTCCCAGAGAATCTGCAGAGGCGTTTTACGGGAGTCTCAAAGACAGGACATTGTCAACCGCCAAGAAAGTGCTGATGACGGATCTGATGAAAATGCGTCTGCGTCCGGAAGAATAGCTTAGGCTGACAGGAGAAGCAGCCAGCTGATGGGACAAGCACAATTATTAAAGACAACAGGGACATACAGCCTGGGAAATGTATTCAAATGTTAAGATTTCTGGTGAGAGATACAGATTCAATTGAAGACTTTGCCAACAATTGTTGTCCAGTCACAGATTTTAAACATCAACTTTAAACATTGCTGTGAAACAATCTAAGATGAATGCTTAATGTAGTAATCTGATCTCCTTGTTGTGAATCAAATTCTGTTGTGGTGGGTGAAAATTTGCAACCCTACCGGGGACAGTCCTCCATATAACCCGTATAAACGCCCCAATTCTTCAGACCCAATAAACAACAAACACAAACAGTCAGTAGATATAAAGTTTCTACCATCTAAGAAAAAAAAAACAATGAATCCCTTAGACAAAACAATTGGAAGTTGCAAATATGGGATAGGGGAGCAAAGTGATACGACACGAAGCAAAGACAGCAGCAGCAGCAGTGTGTGGGTGTGGACGGTACAGGGCCACCGCATAATCCCCCGGTGTGAGTTTGATCTAACAAATACTTTCATCAGCAGAATTCGATGCAGATAATGCCACGCTGAACACGATGCACGACGGCTTTCGCTTGTAGAGCACCACGTGCGTTTGGAGAGCCTGCGCTGGGGGCCGCGATGCAGACCTCAACCACACAGCAAGAAAATCCCTGACAAGCTAGCATATCACAGAGGCAAATGCGTGGCGTTTGTCCCGCCCCTGCTCCACGCAGCTTAGCGCAGCAGATTGACTTGTATGATGTGAGAGGAGAAAGGGATTCAGAACTGGGGCTGCCTTGGCTGTGTGTTTGCGGCAGAATGCAAGTAAAACCAGTGACAGCTAAGCCTCCAACTGGGTCTGGTGTGTCATACAGTATGAATATGATGCAGTGGAAAGAAAAAGTATTTGCCATCTTATTCTTATTTTCACTTTTGGTCACAATCGAATGTTTCATATCCCACAAAGCATGTTTTGGAACTGAAAGCAGGCTAATGCAGTGCAATCTGGGATTTTTAGTGCCTTTGTTCCCCGGTTGGGTTCTAACACCGTGAAATATTTCCTGAAAATCTTGGAGACGTTTCCAGTGGCTTTTTGTCCTCGGTTTGTTTCTTTCGTTTGACAATCATTGGTACTGAGCATCGCTGATGGATGTGAGGTCTGTAGGGTTTTGAAAGTTGCTCTGGTTTTGTCTGGTGTCCCTCCCGGTCTAGTTGTCGAACTCCTTTCGATCGGTGCGTGATGTGTTACGTTCTGAGGTCCTCGCCCACTGTGTGCCGTCAGACGTGCTCATGTTAAGTGATTTCTTTGATTCGCTAAAAAAAAACGTCGGTAATCAGGGCTAACTAATGTTCCATAAAGAGATCGATTACATTTCCACATAGAGCTACGAGGATCAGAAAGTGCTTCTCCATTACGCTGGTAATTTTGTTAAAATGAAGTTGTTGTTTTTTAGCTCAAGATTTTAAACCCACTGAGTAAAACTCAAATATTATTCCAAAAATATTATGCTGCTGTTAAAAATATGTTATGACTTTGAACCCTACTTTATCCAGAGAGACAAATGTTTCTTCATCTGCATGTTCAAGAACATAGGCTCTGTGAATTTCCTCTACCTGCTATGCTACACTGTGTGATAAAGTGGCTGCAAAAATGAATATTGTACATATGTTTCTTGTGAGCACGAAGAAGGTTTCCTTGTGAACGTGTCGGCTGCGTGGCGACTCGCTGACTCGTTGCCACTTGGATATCTCTCGGGGACGGGAGATATGAGGCAGCTCAATTGAATCCTGGCAGGTAATCTAAGGAAACAGATGGACTTTTAGTTATATTTGGCTGCAAGATTAGCCATTTCCCGTCGCTTCCTCCCTCCCCCCCAAAGAAATCTGCTCTTGCCAACTCCTGTTTGACAATCTGAATATTAGTTCTCGGTCAGGAGGCCCGGCTTGCATGCTGTTTGATTGCCTGTTCTGATGAGGCGGGGGCGTGTGCGTTCAATCGTATCTTTACTTTCTAAGGCCCAGCCGCTGTAGCCGGCCAACCCGTCTACGCCGGGGCCGTCTCGTCGTCCCCTTTTGCCCTGCCTATCTCACCGTGCCAGTGCCCCATACCTGAGGACGTTCTCAGCGCCCTATCCACCGCTCCTAATCCTCTTTGATGACGGAGAGGAAGCGTTCAGCGGCGGTTCTCCTGGCCTTTACGGAGAGGCTGAGCGAACAGGTGTCTCACCGCCTCATGGACTGACAGAAATTGACCTGCTATATTTAGTGCGTTCTACCTTTCTTTAAGATTTGCAGGTTTGTACACTAGATTTGTGTGTGTGTGTGGGGGGGAGTGAGGGGGGAGTAAAGGGGGGATTCTGACTTGCATAACTTTGCTGTAAAAAGACTGAGCATCACACACAGCATGTTGATTTGCTTAGGATGCAGTGGACTCACTCTGGATGAAGCTGTTTAGGAATATTTTTCTCAGCTTTTTTTTCTTCTCTTGGTTAATAGGGTAGTTTTACCACTGATGATATTTTGACATATTTCAGAAACTGATAAAACTCTATTAAGAGTGTCTTTGATTGCATAAGCTTCAGGTCACCTGTGTCTGGTAGCTGCTCTGAGCATGTTGATGTTTTTGCTGCGTTATGACAGCAGGAGCAGCGAAAACGAAACTTTACCTTGACTTACCTCGTACAGACACTGCATCTGCTGGCATTCCTGACCAGCTTTAATGATGTATGTGCAGTGGTTGGTATTTACTCACTGAGCCGCATCACTTCCTTACGATCCAGTTATCAGTCCGCCTGCGGTGGCCTTCAGAATCACTGCCCCGGTTCACATCTTTGACATGGATAATCCCTCGATAAACGCCTTTATGTTGTTTTGTAAAAATTTCTAATGAACGTTTTCCTGTCGTGGTGAGCAATTAATGAATTAATCACATAATAAATTAGCTCATTTCTGATTAACGATTCTTAAAGAACAAGATTTTATTTGCGGTTTCAGTTGTGTGTGTGTGTTTCTGTTTCTATTTTGATTTATTGCTTTTGGTTTGTCATGTTTTACTTCGGACATTTCAAGTATCTTCCAGTTTCAGTGCTAAATGCTTTTTGCAAAAGTTTCCTGGTCTATCAGAGGGCAAACTTGCATTATTACACCATTATAAACACAGAACTTGAAAATGGCTCCGTAACAACAATGTTATTGTTTATTGCAGCGGTTACTGGGACAATTTATCCAAATTGTCCAGCAAAACAGTGTGAATTTGGATTTTGCCACTAAAATCAAAAACAATTAGCAACTTGCACATTTTCAAAGAGGTCATTTAAAGTTAAAGAACATTTAACTTTACATTAATTGTTAATTAAATCAATTTTATTAATTTAATTATCAACTAAATAAAAAATATTTATTTATTTTAATAAATAAATGATAAAGTTCTGAACAGTTCCCAACTGTTGCTTGAAAATAGTTTCCATTCATTTTTATTTGTGACCATCCCTAATTTGAACCACAAATGAGACACTTCCTGTGTTCAGTCTTTCTCTTGAAACATGTGTCCACTAGGGGGCACTGTAGCATTAGTCTTTGTTGGAAACTCGGTTCAAAGTCACACAAACCCAATAATGGAGAAAAATAGGAAGAAAAAAAACCAAAACTAAAGCTGATTCTGTTGTGATCTGAAAAGTGGAGAAAGAGCAAACGAGCCAAATAGCTAAACTGCAACAGGTTGGCGTGGTGCATTTGATTCTCCTCCTTGTGTCGCGGGGAGTTCAGGGGACGCAGGCTGCGGGTTAAAGCGACGGAAAACTGAGACCGGATCGGCCCTGCGGGCCTCCTCGGCTGCCAGGATACTGAATACGTCACCTGTGACATTTTACACTCTCTCATTTTACTGCCCCATGTCAAATAATACACAGCAGCAGGTTCACTCACCCCTTGCCGCTCTCCTCTCACTCGCTCGGATGAAGACGCACGCGGACGCCTCTGCGTAGAGGACGTCGGCTCGTGCACACAAACTGCTCAGTGCCCAGGTGGCAGGCAGCTGTCCAGGCAGGCAGGCAGGCAGGCAGGCAGGCAGCGGGCTCCATCAGATAAATATGAGGCTTGTAATGCGACCACAGAGACCGGGCTGATGGGATCAATAAAGAACGGCGCTGCAGGTCATCGGGAGAACACAGCGAGAGGATAAATATGGACTGGCTCATCGGGAAACAGAGCGGCGACACTGACGGGTACGCGGGACCGGATCTTTTCTCCGCAGAGCGCACCGGCTGCTCCCCTCTGTGCCACCGCTTTTTCTGCTTTTCGCCAAAAAAAAAAAAAAAAAAAAAAAAAAAAAGCTGAGGCCCAGACCTCCTCGGTCTCAGTTTATTCTTCTTGCTGTTTATTTATTTATTTATTTATTTTATTTTTAATTGTTTGTTTGGGTCAAAACAAAGCGCAACCTTTAATGTGCAAACATCATCAGAATGACTCCTGTTTTGAATGCAAGTGTTTCACTCAGATATTCACATTTGCGTCGACTGAAGGGAGTTGCCTCTCCATTCAACCTCTTTCCAGGAAGTGCTTAAATATTCTGAAAGCTTTCTCAGAAGACTCACGTTAGCATCACCTGTTTTTTTTTCTTTTCTGTTCTTAATTGTTTTTGAACTGGAAGCCACTTCCGGCTTTGGTTTTATGTCACACAGTTTTAAACAGTTCCAATTAAGTGCAGTTGATCTAATTGGAGGCAGTTTTCGCAGTGGAAGTTAAGTGTCACAGTGAACCCAGGTCACCGACTTCATCAGATGGGGTCAAAGTTTAAAACAACAGCTGCTTGTTTCTGATTAGCTTTGGTTTGTTCCCAAAGCAGGAGCGAAAGCGGCTGAAGCCGCAGCCTCATGTGTCGGATGGCGTACAGATTTCTGAGACATGTGAGATGGTCATGTAGCGGCCGCTGTGTGTGTGTGTGTGTGTGTGTGTTTGTCTGACCTCTGCTTTACTCAAGGGGAGTGGAGGGAGGAAGCATTTTAAATACCAGCGCATGTTGATGCTGTGCTGACATATGAGCACATAAACAAAGATATTTATTGTTTTTCATCTGTTATTATAGGTCATTGAGCCATCAGACTGATGTAAAGTAGTATTATACTTATTAAGCCATAATAATTCATGTAACATATTTGAAAAAATACTGCCTTATGTCTGTGGACGCTGACATCAGCGTTGGGAACGTCTGTGCTTGTTGCTTCATGTTTAGCACTGAGGTGCTATTTGACAGGCTAACTCCTTTCAGCGGAACTTGAACTCAACAATAGTCTTTTCCGTTGTCTCATAAGAAAAAACCCATCAAGTTAAAATTACGGTTGTCTTCGCGCAGCGATTTAAATTTGAGTTGATTTACTTTTACTCTTCCATCCTTAAAGCGACATTGACATGTGTACATATATTTGTTCACTGTCCCACCGTTCTGTTCCTTCCATTGCTGTTTGAGTCTTTATATCGATTGCTCTACATATCGCATGTCTTCTGTTAACATCCTCGTTGTACCATTGTTGTGTCTTCGCCTCATTTTTCTCATCTATTTCTGTTTTCGTATGCAATGAGATCTCCATACCCTTTTGATTTGATTTATTTATTTATTTTATGTTTTAGGCTCAAAGAAGAACCAAAACCTCAGCAAGCACAGTAAGTAAACTGCATTACCCAGAGTGCTCTAGGCTTTGGCAGTTTGTTTTGTTTTTTTCCTGGCAGTTTGTGCTGTGCGCTTCTTGTGGCTTTTTTTTCTCGTCTTCCGGGGGCCAAACAAAAGAAATGACATCAACGTCACGCGATGGCAGCTGGATGACTCCACATTTATAGTAATCGAGCTACATGTGGTCACATGTCGGCCGCACTGCGAGCTGAAATTGACCGGACAGGTGAATTGTATTGATAATCAAACAGCTGACATCCGTGGCGTTAATGGCAGTTGCTTTTTCTTCTTCTTCTTCTTCTTTTTTTTTCCTGGTGCTTTTTTTCAATTTCTTCACCAGACTTCTAGCACACTTTCCTCTTGTCCCTGGTTTCTACTTGGCTGTCCGTCTTCATCCAGTGTATCGGCTGCACTCTGGCTGACCTGTGAAAAACCCTGTAGTCCGACTACAAACACGGACTCGATGCTCCTCTGCTGTGCTGTTGCTTCATTTGATCCAATCTCTCTTTAAGACTGGTCATTTGGAAAACCTGACCTCTGCTGCCCCTGTAAACTAGAAGAAGTGATACTTCTCTTAGCCTTGTCTGTAGCACTCATTTCCATTGGCTGTAGAGCTCACATCTTTTTTTTCCCCACCATCCTTATTTCTAATTTACCTCTGGTAGCCTCACACTTCTACCCTCTGACTTTTCCATTGTATTTCGGACCGTATCTGGATGTCGGTGGCCCCCACTGTTGGCGTTCTGCCGGTGTCCTGGCCCTCTCCTTTATCTGCTGTGGTTGTAGTGAATGCTCCTGCTACTTCTCACCCCTCGAAACTGCTCTGCGATCCAAAAACCCCTCTTAACAGTCAACATGTTTTCTCCTATGATAACCGATTGCCATGTTTCAGCCATGCTTTGCTTGTCTGAACAGGTGGTTTCCCTTTAGTGGGATCACTGACCTGGTAAATAATGTTCTTCAGCCCCAGCAAAAGCCCCAAAATGACAAGAAGCCCGAACCAGACGCGTAAGTAAGAACTCAGACCCGTCATGATCTGCTTTGAGCAAGAAAACAGAAATATAGTGACCACCAAAGGAGCTCAGTAGGCTGGTTTTAGAGAAAGTTTCTAAGATGTTTTTAAAGCTGCAGTATGTAACTTTTCTATGTGTATTTAAACTGTAACAATGTTGCAACAGCATGATGTGAGACAGATAATGGGCGAAAAAAAAATCAGTCCTCCTGGTGCAAAAATGCATCGCTCCTACTCAAAAACAACCAATCAGAGCCAGGAGGAGGGACTTGGCGCTGTCAATCAATCTCCAGTACGCTGCTCAATGCGCCAATGGTGAAAAAAAATCTCACTGCTGCAGGAAAACACTTTATCCGCCCTCATTGGTGGTCACGTTAACTAGCCTTAGCATTGGTAGCATGCTGTGCTTTGGTGAAATAGCTGTAGCTTAGCAAAGAGCAAGCAGGCGGGGATGACAACGAGATGGATTGGCAGCACTAAGCCCCTCCTCCCGGCTCTGATTGGTTGTTTGTGACTGCGTGTGGTGTTTCCTGCAGTTAGACTGGGAGCACTGGGAGAAGACAGAGAAACTCAATATTTATTTATTTATTTTTGCTTTTTTGTTTTGTTTTCACAAATTGTCTGACTCACTCAACACAATGATAATTTGAACAAATATTTTAAGAAGCATCTATTTTTTGAAAATGTTACATACTGCAGCTTGGAGAGTGGTTATTGGTGTTAGATTAGAGGCGTATCAAATTCTTGTTTGATAAAGTGAGTATCGGCGTCACACCTTGCTGACACAAACCTCTCGTTTGATGCATCCCTTTTTGTTACAGTGGTTGGGTAAGAAACTGTAATGTTCCGAAACAACAGACTTAAAAAAAAAATCTCTTTGTTTTCCATTCTGCTTTGTTTTGGCGTCGACTCACGTGCTGCGCTGTTTTTTTTTTTTTTCATTTAGCTCCTTTTTTTTTCTGTATTTTTCCGCCACTTTTTAAAAGATGTACGGCAGAACATCGGGTTCCACACTTTCGCTCTGCAAATAAATGCTCTGCATGTCATATGGCTAGGAACTGGAAGGTGAGTATGGCATGCAGAGGAGAGGTGATCAATGGAGCAGGAGCCAGGTGGAGACCAAATAACCAGAATGTGAGTGATGAGAAGACCAGAGAGCTGGAGAGCAGAGAGAATCAAATCAAAGGGAAAGAAACACAAACTCACAGACCAGTGTTCAGAGAACAGCATGCAAACAGAACGTAACACAAGAAAGACCCCAAAAACCAACAGGAGATAACAAAACTCAAACAACGGAGGTAAAAAAAATTAAATGCATGAAATGAAGGCAACAGAACCACGGAAAATCAGAAAGAGTCTCTAAAACTGAAGAGTGAAACTAAATGCAAGAAACATGTCTAGATTATAAAATAGACATGTGTAATCACCCAACTGGAATAATCAGAGCAATATCAGGAATGAAATAAAAACCTTATTGCAAACGCTATGCTAGAAAGAGTCACATGAAGAAATAATAATAATAATGCTAATGATAGTTTTGCTGTACAGGCGACATTCTTGGCATAAAATTACGGCCCCTATCATTTACAAATATCAGTGATGACAATTTGTTTCTGCCCCAGAGTTTCTAAA